CTGACGCAGTTGAACATTAATTTGTGAAAGGGGAGGTCAGGGAAAAGTTCTGTGGCCAGCGAAGCACCACAGCCTAGAACTCTATAGAAAAGCATAGACGTGTTTAAGTCGCTGGAAGTAGTGGTAGTCTTGCTAAAAGGCTTCCGTCTGAGTTCACTCTTGACTATAGTGTGTGTACTGGTAAAAGTACATTACTATTTGTACGTATAGTTTGATTTCTTTTTTAAATTTTACACGTAGTTTGATTTGGTTTTCCTTTTTTTGTCATTGCGGAGATATATACCTTTCCAGATACTAAAACCCCGACACTGCAGCAATTTTATTTTGTTAAAACTTTTTTGAAGTAGCACTGAAAGAAACCCAAGTGGGCCGCTCACTAATATGATAATTACAAAGAGACCAACGTAGTTTCTGGCGCACTTGAATCGACATAAAGGTCATGAACATCATGATCTTAGTGAAAAATTAGAAGGCAAACAAGGAAGGGCTAGGCTCAGAGCAACTAACTTGTAAGACTTGAACATCTAGGTGACGGTGAAAAACCAGGACAACCCAGGTTTTTTAAACAGCTTGCGAGCAAAGAATGAATGGCAAACCGTGATCGCTGATGTCTGTTTTAGACCAGGCACTTTTAGGGGGGAGAGGGGGGGGGGAGGGATACACCAGATAAATAATGGTAGCACTCAAAATTTCACCAAGAATTTAATTTTAAACAATGTTTTTAATTACTTTAAAAAAATGAAAGCTGATAATACTAAGCTTTAAATTGAGACTAAATTCTTTGGTATATAAATTCAATAAAACGGGTAAAAGTGCAACAACAAAAAATGATAGTTGAAAGTTCACGTATTAAACATATATATTAAAATTACGCCCAAGATTTTGAATACAAATACATAGAAGAATTTTTAAAAAACAGCAATAAGATAAGTAAATGAGGTATGAATATATATCTTGTCTGTTTTAGATTTTCAATATACTAATACAAACAATTAAATTATCTTGTAGAGAAAAAAACGACCATTCAGCCTCTTGTGAAACTACATTTGCTGCTGCGAAGAACGGTTTAATGCTTAATGAACGGTCTTATGTTTACTACTTATCAAATTGTCAAAGCAATCATGTTCTACTACCAATGATCAGTTGTGGGTACCGTCCGCGCGTTCACAGTCCTTCTTCTTTACGTTCCCTCTATTGTTTCTGTTTGTCTGTCTTACTTTTCCCCAGCACTAAATGAGCATTATTGCATCGATGTGTTTCTCTTTACTTTAAAAAAGACACACAAAATGACAACAACAACCCCCCCCCAACCCCCC